TCTGGTCTTCCCTGTACTGTCCGCAGTCTCTGGTCATATATCTTGTACTGTCCGCAGGTCTCTGGTCATCCCCTGTTACTGTCCGCAGTCTCTGGTCATCCCCTGTTACTGTCCGCAGTCTCTGGTCATCCCCTGTACTGTCCGCAGTCTCTGGTCATCCCCTGTACTGTCCGCAGTCTCTGGTCATCCCTTGTACTGTGTCCGCAAGTCTCTGGTCATCCCCTGTACTGTGTCCGCAGTCTCTGGTCATCCCTTGTACTGTGTCCGCAGTCTCTTGGTCATCTCCTTGTTACTGTGTCCGCAGTCTCTGGTCTCCCTGTACTAGTGTCCGCAGTCTCTGGTCATCCCCTGTACTGTGTCCGCAGTCTCTGGTCATCTCCTTAGTACTGTGTCCGCAGTCTCTGGTCATCTCCCGTACTGTGTCCGCAGTCTCTGGTCATCTCCTGTACTGTGTTCCCGCAGTCTCTGGTCATCCCTGTACTGTGTCCGCAGTCTCTGGTCATCTCCCGTACTGTGTCCGCTGTCTCTGGTCATCTCCCTGTACTTGTGTCCGCAGTCTTGGTCATCTCCTGTTACTGTGTCCGCAGTCTCTGGTCATCTCCTGTACTGTGTCCGCAGTCTCTGGTCATCTCCTGTGTACTATGTCCGCAGTCTCTGGTCCAATCTCTATGTACTATGTCCGCAGTCTCTGGTCATCCCCTGTACTATGTCCGCGAGTCTCTGGTCATCTCCTGTACTGTCTGCAGTCTCTTGGTCATCTCCTGTACTGTCCGCAGTCTCTTGGTCATCCCCTGTACTGTGTCCGCAGTCTCTGGTCATCTCCTGTATATGTCTGCAGTCTCTGGTCATCTCCTGTACTGTGTCCGCAGTCTCTGGTCCATCTCCTGTACTATGTCCGCAGTCTCTGGTCATCCCTATACTGTCCGCAGTCTCTGGTCATCTCCTGTAGTACATCCGCAGTCTCTGGTCATCTCCTGTACTATGTCTGCAGTCCATTGGTTCAAAATATTTTTTTTTCTTGTTTTCCTCCTCTAAAACCTAGGTGAGTCTTTATGGAGCAAAAAATACGGTATTTTTAAACTTTATGCCAAAAAGGGACTTTTATGTTTGGTTTCCAGTACAAAAACACCCCAATAAATTACCAGTACCAACAGCGGTCATGTTTTTTATCAGGCTAACAACAATTGATTTAGAACCAAGATATGGTGTAAATATACATATAAACATTTTTTTAATTATATCTCCTTAAAGAAAATGTTAAAATATAAAACAAGCGAGTGATATCAAGAAGTAGTTTTACATAACAAATGTTGGTATTGTAGCGGGACCATTGCTGTTTCCCTTTCAAGGCTGCATGTCTTGATTTGATTGGCTCAGCTCTCAGCAGTACTGGAGTGTTTGTGGGAGTTGCAGTTTCATCACAGAGGCAGACAATGGAACTTTATACTGCACAGGACTACAAGACCAGGATGCTTTGTAAGGGGGGGGGGGGGGGGGTAGGTGAGCGATGTGTGCCTTTGCAGAGGACATGTGGGAGTTAGTCTGCAGCACCTACTGTTGAAGTACACGGACACTGTTTCCAGAACAGCACAACTGTGATCATTGGTACCAGTCACCCGCGATGGCAGTTATCGACAGCAACAACATCTCCCACCGTAGAGAGAGGTGTTGGAAATCGCAGAGGAGGCGTGTGACCATCCCAGGTAAGGCACCTGACAACAGGAAACACTAGTCAGAGAGAGAGTCCCATTCATCATCCCTTCAAGGAGCTAACCCCTGGAGACTGTTCTTCGTGGATGGGGTGAGCAACTGCTAACCAGTGACATGTCAGTCCTTAAGAGCGCTCCACCGATTCACTGACACAGGCCTGTGCAACACATAGACTCACACAGTGTTACAACCCCACAGTATACAAGTGAATTTGGGACTGACCCTAAAGAGGCGTCAGTTTAGCTGGGGACATGTTGCTGCTATAGTTGCAGGAGGTTAATACTGATCTATAACTACCGTATATCCGTATATACATGAATATTGTGTTTATTGATGTTATTGTGCCAATTATAGAAGGTTTGTGCATTCAGTGCATTTAACTGCTATTTCCAAGTTAATTTGCAGTCTATTTGCAGAGTTTTACCTGTCTTATTAAACCTGTTCTAAAACTTCCCATAAGGTGTACTGGTGTGCTGTGGATCGAATATATATTATATATATATATATATATATATATATATATATATATATATACACATATACATATACACACACATATATATATATATACATATCTACACAGTTGCAAGAAAAAGTATGTGAACCCCTTGGGATTACGTGGAGTTTTGCATGAATTGGGCATAAAATGTGCTCTGAACGTCATCTAAGTCACAACAATAGAAGAACACAGTCTGCTGAACATAATACTACACAAACATTAGATGTTGCCATGGTTTAATTGCACATAACATGTAAACATTCACAGTGCAGGGAGGAAAAAAAAAGTATGTGAGGCCCTAGCTTAATGACGTCTCCCAGAGCTAATTGGAGCCAGGAGTGAGCCAACCTTGATTCCAATCAGTGTGATGATATTGGATGTGTTGCTGACAGCTGTCCTGCCCTTAAAAAACACACACCTGTTTTGGGTTTACTGGTTTCAAGAAGCACTGTCTGATGTGAACCATGCCTCGCAGAAAAGAGCTCTCAGAAGACCTACGATCAAGAATTGTTGACTTGCATGAAGCTGGAAAGGGTTACAAAAGTATCTCCAAAAGCCTTGATGTTCATGTGTCCACGGTAAGACAGACTGTCTACAAATGGAGAAAGTTTAGCACTGTTGCTACTCTCCCTAGGCATGGTCGTCCTGTAAAAATGACTGCAAGAGCACAGCGCAGAATGCTGCATGAGGTAAAGAAGAATCCCAGAGTGTCAGCTAAAGACCTACAGAAATCTCTGGCACATGCTAACATTTTTGTTGACACATCTACAATAAGGAAAACATTAAACAAGAATAGAGTACATGGGAGGACACCACGGAGGAAGCCATTGCTGTCCAAAAAGAATATTGCAGCACGTTTGAAGTTTGCAAAAGAGCACCTGGATGTTCCACAGCACTACTGGCAAAACATACTGTGGACAGATGAAACCAAGATTGAGTTGTTTGGGAAGAACACACAACACTATGTGTGGAGAAAAAAAGGCACAGCACACCAACATCAAAACCTCATCCCCACTGTAAAACATGGCGGAGGGAGCATCATGGTTTGGGGCTGCTTTGCTGCCTCAGGGCCTGGACGGATTGTTGTCATTGATGGGAAAATGAATTCCAGAGTTTATCAAGACATTTTGCAGGAAAACGTACGACCATCTGTCCGCCAACTGAAGCTCCGCAGAGGATGGGTGATGCAACAGGACAATGACCCAAAGCATACAAGTAATTCAACAAAACAATGGCTGCAACAGCACGGAATACGCCTTCTGGAGTGGCCCAGTCAGAGTCCTGACCTCAACCCCATTGAAATGCTGTGGCAGGACCTTAAGAGAGCGATTCACACCAGACATCCCAAGAATATTGCTACACTGAAACAGTTTTGTGAAGAGGAGTGGTCCAAAATTACTCCAGATCGTTGTGCAGGTCTGATCTGCAACTACAGGAAATGTTTGGTTGAGGTTATTGCTGCCAAAGGAGGGTCAACCAGTTATTAAGTCCAAAGGTTCACATACTTTTTCCTCCCTGCACTGTGAATGTTTACATGTTATGTGCAATTAAACCATGGCAACATCTAATGTTTGTGTAGTATTATGTTCAGCAGACTGTGTTCTTCTATTGTTGTGACTTAGATGACGTTCAGAGCACATTTTATGCCCAATTCATGCAAAACTCCACGTAATCCCAAGGGGTTCACATACTTTTTCTTGCAAGTGTGTATATATATATATTTCATCACTGAAGGACAGAAGTGACCGTTAATTTCAGCGGCTCCTTCGGGGGTGAGCGCTACAGTATTCATCTTGAATCTGACAATATAATATGTCCAATCTTAAAGAAAGGAAAGGAGCATGATTAAGTCTAGGTTCACACCTAAGCGTTTTCCTTTGCATTTTGCAGAAACGCACAGCAGTCCATTTAACATGATTTCCTATGGGACAGGTTCATATCTCTGCGTTTTCACCCGGTGCGTTTTTTGGAAAGGGTCAGGGACTTTTTTAAACCCAAAATGTTGCGTTTTTCGTTTGATAGACTTCAATAGAGATGCTGCAGAGTAATGCATTTCTGATGAATTTTGTATTTTAATCTGCTCAGCAACAAGATGGAAAAAAAATGCAAACGCACCAAAGACGCGTCAAAAACTACATGTGCAAAAATGAAAAATGCACCGCAAAAAGCATTGCAGAAATGGATCAAACGTAAACTGCATAGGTGTGAATATATAGAAAAAACCTCAGCACAGTATGGTGTTAATATGATTATACAGTATTGTGCTACCTGCATAGAATCTGTTCCCACATACAGTAAATAAATGAAAAAGTGTATATGCAGCACACAGATAATGCTCTAATATGTTAGTGTTATAAGTACATGTATACCATAAACATATATCATTGTGCGTAATAACAGATATACTGCAATAAATACCAAATATACATAAAAAAAGTGCAAATCCTTGTGTCATAAGTGACAAATGCATGTGCCCAAGCGTGCGTTGAAATTATAAAAAATTAAACAAACAGTTTTTATAGTGAATTGTGCTTTTAACCTCCCTGGCGGTCTGATTACTTCTGATTTTTTGTGCTGAAAGCGGTACATTTTTTTGCATGGAAATATGTAGTTTTTTATTGTAGGCTGTAATTTTTAGGAATAACTCACTGAAATCTGTCCGAACAAGAGTCTAGTAAACATCCCGGGGAGGATAAAACTTGAAACACGAAATCATAAATTATAATTTAATAAATAATCATAAAAAATAATAATATAATAATAATATATTTAATTCAATAATATAATCAAACCAAAAACACTGAAATTTGAAATACAGAGGCAAATTCGCACATCGCTGAGCAAAGGCGCAAAATCGTTTTCAGTGTCTGATGAGGAATTTCCCCCACGAATCATTATCACTCAATTCTGCAAGTGGTTCTGATTTACTATCGCTGTTCTCTAGCCGGTCTAAAACCGCTTTTGACCTAAAGGGATGCTTTTTGGACGCCATGGACGTTTCTAAGTTTCCAGGCAGAAAGAACAGTAAAAATGCAGGCAGGGCGCCGGACAAAGCAGTAGGGACAAAATGTATGTGAAATGGTTTGATACAGTAATGTTATACTATATAATAATCATTTTAAAAAAAAATGAAATTTTTTAAAAATTTCAAATTTGCCGCTTGTACATCCCGACGTCACAGGGACCGGAACACAGAAGCCGGATGCCGGCATCGGCCGGAGGAGATGGCCGGGGACGCTGCAGGGGACACATCGCGGGAGCGAAGGACAAGGTAAGTGCTGCAGGGTCTCCCTGAGCAACGCCGCATGGTAAGCCTGAGTGTAGCTCGGGGTTACCGCTCTTGGTACTGAAATTTTATTTTACCCCGAGCTACACTCGGGAATACCGCCAAGGAGGTTAATACTGCCATGCTTCATAGGTGTGACCCTAGCCTAAAACTTTTAAAACTCAGCGCCACCTTTGAATGAATTGCACAGTCATGCAACAATGTACCCCCATTACATTTTTATATTTTTTTTCACACAAAAATAGAACTTTCTTTTGGTGGTATTAATCCCTACTGGATTTTTACTTTTTTTTTTACTAAAACGAAAAAAGGCCGAAAAGTTTGGAAAAAAAAATAACCTGTTTAAAATTTTGCAAATAAATAATCTTTCTTTAGGGTAAAATGTATCCTGCTACATTTCTTTGGTGAAAATAACCTAAATCAGTGTTTATTATTTAGTCTGTAGGATGGTTATAGAGTTCACAAACTATGGGATATATATATAAAAATTAATCAATC